GCTCGGCGCCCGCCACTGCTGCGCCCGGGCCATCTCGCCGCTCATGCAGGCTGCGCGCCGCCCGCCGCACGCGCGCACGTACTCGCGCGTCGCCATCGCCATTCACCCCACCCGTGCCAGCGTTCCCCCCCCCCCACTCGCCTGCGCTCCTCCGCGACGCGCCCCAGGCCGTACAGCTCAGCGCGCAGCTGCCCGATCTGCGCCTGTGCCTCTTGCAGCAGCAGCGCCATCACCCGCGGGTCCCCTTGGTGCTGCGCGGGCGGCGGCGCCGCCGGCGCCGCCGCGCCGTGCTGCTGCATGGGGACTCTGGGGGTTCAGGGGGCGCTGCTAAGGCTAGCTCATGCGGCTGCTGGTAGGGTGCACGGCTTGCTGAGCTTGGCAAAGGCGGGCTCTGCGGTGTGCAGGTTGCAGCTACTGCAGCAGCCACAACGGCGCGCGCGGGCGCAAACGAGGTAGCCTCTCGTGTGCACGCTCCTCACGAAACAGTTGACTATTCGTACTTCGTACAAGACAAACGTGTGTGCAAACGGAGAGCACGGCCGATATTGATCATTACCCAGCGCGCCCGACGCTGGGCAGTGCTGCGCGTAACAAAGTGTATCAATGGACCAGACAAACAGTTATGCATCAAAGTTTCGATGTCTATCCTGCGCAAGTCGCCCTGCCTTGTCTGGACTCGCACCCGGGTGCCCTGATCATTGTACCTAGAAATGAACCACGGGTGGCCCAACCGAGGTTGGGACACAGGCTCGGGGATGATATGGACATAAGCGAGCCGCATGAAGCTCTAAGATTCAGGAGAGAGGTACTGGATCACATAAATCAGGGAGTTTTAGTTGTACTGGATGGTGGGAAGCAGTACACAGGGCCGTTGCACCATGTCAGCACAGTTGACCAGGTGAGACTGACAGTAACGGGCACGTGCCTATGCCTGGCGTTGCCCTGCAACTTGATGAGCGCTGCCTGCCGTACCCCCTGATCACGGCGCCTTGAGCTGTTGGTGGTTGCCCCAGTGTCCATACCCCAGCCTCAAGAGTGACTGCCGCCAAGATGCAGCACTGCGAGGTAGCAGAACAGCCGCGCCGCTCGCGGATGAGAAGGCACGTGACTGTGACTGCAGTCTGGACCCACATAGCAGCACAGTCTTACACTTGTTCCCTCACACTGACTGGCGGGCTGCATGCGGCTTCTTTTCGCCATGATGCACATGAGTGTGCCGCCAATCACAGGGAGCGCCACCCCCCAGCACCTGCGCCAGGCGGGCATGCCCCCCCCCCCATCTTCTGTGGTCAACAATCTCCGCTCCCAGGGAAAAGGGTCGAGCCAGCCCTGGCCACGTGAGTTAATGCTCAGCAGCGAGGACGGGCACAGCGATTTGGCAGTCTCAACAGTTGGTTGTTATCGACATGCAACAACGTTCTGATGTCGCTAGGAGTTGAGTCGCCAGCGTACTCTCCCCTCCGCACACAGCCACGTGCTGGTGAACCTTTCAGGCACCAGCGTCATCGGTGTCGCCGAATCACACCCGTCGTCGAGCATGATCGCCACACACCCATCATGAGGAAGGGGCTTCAGGTGTTTACACAGGTGAATAGCACAAGGCCATGGCATTCTTGCCAAACCTGCTGTTGCAGGCTGGCCGACGTGCAGTGATAGCATGGCCACCTCGACCTGTTCTGCGGCTGAGAGACAACAGCAGCGGCGGCCACTTGCCTTTGTGGGGCGGGCATGCCCTCTATGACCTGATTATGCAATAAGACTCACGCACGCAGATTCAGCATAGACCGAAAGCTCTTGTCGGGATTTCCATTAGTCATGTTTTTCAGCCTCCTCATCCAGGGGGGAAATCCTTCACGCTAGGTTGACTCCCAAACTGAGACGAGTAGGAACTTGATGAATGAACTCCCCCCTTGTAGACCGCATCCCCCTGAATAGTAGATTTTGACGAAACCCGCTCCAAGCTCCCGCTCGCCAGCCAAAATTGGCGAGGTCATCTCAACCTGAGACACGAGCACACGATTCGCGCGCGCCCTACAGCTGGAGTGCCGCGGCAAGGTCGGTCTGCACCTCAGGTCGCGAAGGCCAGCGTGCCAAAACCGGCCGGAGACAGTGGCAGACAACTGCGACAAACCTGCGGTTGGATATCACGCTGTGCCCTCAGAAGATGGCAGCTAGGTGCGCGCGGCACGGTCGCGTCGCCGCGCGCGATCTTCTTGCGTATCTCGCGTCTGATTGTGCGTGGTTGTCAAGGTGGCAAGCACTGTGAGTGCAACGCGTCCCTCCACCCCTCAACATACCAATCGCGCGCAGCCCCACCGGCATGCAATTGCCGCTGCCGTTCACCACAAGGAGCGGCCGCCCCGCCGACGACTCAGCGTCGGCGCTCAGTGCGGCCGCGGGAGTGCACAAGCACGACCCGTTTGCAGCAGCGGCGGTGCCTTCGCCTCGGCTGGCGCCCCAGCACCAACCATTCTCAGGTCACCTGCTTTTTGTGGACACGGGCGCCTGCCTCAGCGGGCCCTTCGCGGCCACCCCGCCCTCGGGCGCGGCGGCGCGCGGCGCCGCCGCGTCGCCGCCCCAGACGCCGTCGTCGGGCGCGTCGCGGCCGCCCTCGGACGGCCATGTCTCGCCGGCGGCCCAGGGCAGCGGCAGCTTCACGCCGCCTAGCAACTACACAGACCGCGCGGAGCGCACGGTGGGCAGCGCGGCGCGCCACAGATGCTCGCGGTGCCCCGGGCATGGGCTCCCCTGCCCCCCTTGCAAAGCGCCGGCACGCCCGCCTGCGGCCCGCTGCCGCGCGTATGGCCCGCACCCTCGCATGCCCAGCTTCCGCGCGGCAAACCCCCCCGGCGCCCGACGCACCCCCCATCCCCCGCGCGCAGCTGTTCTTCGCGCGCGCCTCGTCGACTGCCTCCCAAGACGAGATCGCCGCCGCCTTCGCGGCCTGCGCCGCTGTTGAGGAGGTCAACCTGTTCCGCGCATGGCCCACTGCCAAAGCCTCAAAGGGCTGCGGCTTGGTGGTGATGGCGACCCCGGAGGGCGCCGCTCTGGCGATAGAGAAGCTAGATAAGAAGCTGGTCTGGGAGGGCGCGGACGGCCCCATGGTGGTCGAGCGCTGCGACCCGTCGCGCCTCGGCGTCAAGGCCGCCAACGCGGCCGCGTGCAAGGCCGAACGCGCGGCGGCGGCCGCAGCCGCCGCGGCCGCGCGGCGGGCGGGCGCGCACGGCGGTGGCGGCGCGCACCAGCGCACGTCAGGGCCGCTG